TTTAAATTTGTAATTGAAATCAACCAATTAATTTGCTGCATTGTTTAATTTTTCTAGTCTTTACAAGAAAAAATTGGTGGGTCAAGGTTAAATGAATGGTAAAAAGGAAGCCATAAACTAGTAGGAGACATTTTGACGCATAAAATATAATTATTGACATATGAGAAAGACGTTATCTTGTCAAATTAAGTTATAGAATTGAATTTAAATCGCTAAATCAATTAGCTTAAAGATACATATCCTTTTTCCGCTATTATAAAGTCTGTAAGGCTGGTATGACAATATTTTCTGATGGTATCAACCTTCTGTCTCGTTTTCAATTTTTGTTAAATTTTAAAAGTGGTCACCACAAAACGACTCCAATATTATCACAAGACCACATCATAGAAGTCTGTCGTCTGATTATGCTGATAAAAGCAAAGCCTTGCCTGTCAGACTGGATCAACTTGTACCAATAATTGAGCATAAACATCCATTTATATGATACAATTATCACTAGATATAGTAGTTTTATTACCAGAATTTGTTATAAGAGACCTGTGTGTTTTGGTAATTGATGGCATTTGTACATTTATTTATATTGTCAGCTGAGCTTATATCCAGTACAGACTGTATGATTTGTTTTATGATATATTCATGGAAGATATTTATCTCTCGAAATTATTTCATCATTTAAATAAAAATGTGCATTATTTAAATGACTCTCTTAGTAGGATATATCACCGGATGGGGGAAGTGTTTAATGCAGAGTTTAGGGATATATGACCTAATGTTATCAAAGTTACATTCTGTAAATGCCTGCATAAAGATTAAATACAAATATGCAAAACTAAATATAGATTGTCTCACAATTAATAGTGTATTCATCCTTAAAACTTATAAAGAGTTTTATGGGACAGTGTCCTAACTTGAACACAAAAAACATATGAGTTATGCCATTTTTGCATAGAACTTGCAAATTATGCACTGTTTTGGTATTGTTGTCACAGTCTACACCGTCAACATTCCATAGTTTAATGAATTATCATTTGACAATGATGTATGGACAGATAGAGGCTGAGTGCATTTTTGTGGTACATTTTGATGTCACATGTTGAGATTTTGTGTGTCACATTTTATATGTCATAAGTCTGATGTCACTGTATTTAACTGATGATTTACATCTGTCAAATATAAAGATTCTGTATTGTGATAAAAGTATTATGAAATCAGATAATTTATAACATCTTCTGTAATGACTGACTTGGCAAGTCAGCAAGCCATCCCATTCTTCTCATATTTAAATATTTATTGCATATCATATTTATATGCAACATTCCACTTGTAATTTCAAAATCATGTATTTTCTTCTTTTGTGTTTGCCTTTATTCTTAAGTATAGTTACATGTACAAGAAGCATTTTGAACGATTCAGTTCGAACCAAACAAAGCGGTATTCCCTTTAACAATCACAGCTAGGTCTGTCATCAACAAAAAGTTGTAAAATTTTAAAACAAGCCTGAAGTCTGAAGATGTTCAAGCAATTGCCGGCAAGATCAGTTTTCCACACCAACAACCTTTTATGGTCATATGTCAGTTGACTGTAAAATGATTGGCAGATCACAGGCATGTGTGAAGATATCAGAATGTATTTCTCACTAACGTTTTTATGTTTTTCCAGTTCATTTGAAGTTGTTTAGTTTCACATTTGATCTGGCTAGTTGGCAGTGTGATAGACAAGGTTGTTGGTCTGTGTACTCTGTATAGATGGACATAAATGCTTTTTTGTTACAAATGAAGTTTTCCTGTTCCTAAGGTTGAAATATGAACCAAACCTGTTTTAATACCCTTAATTAACTTTTATAATCAGTTTGCTTTTATTTCATTTATTATTTTTACATAGCTAAGATTGGGTTAATATTGAAACTTGTTTACTTAACGTTGATAATATTTTTAATAAATATTAATAAGCCTAAAATCTGAAATACTTTTAAGTTAATTGGTTTTTAATTGAGTTACATTGAACTTATTCTACATGAAAATTATGAAATTTTAATTAAATAAACAAGGAGATTAGAAGATGTTTTTATCTACCAATTTCAGAAATTCAGAAAATTGCTGAAATTGCATATTTTAAGAATACTGACAGAAAAAAGTGAAAGTTTTTTTTAGAGCATATATTCCTCTCAGTAGGAAGATAATTAAAAGTTGCTTTCTTGACGTGAAGTGAATTGACAGTTATTTTCATCCTGACATGATGATGATCCTATTTTATACAATAGCTTACATTGACATGCAATATTATACATGTTTATAATTGCCATGTGTCTAAATGCTATCAGCTGACTTTTGTTGCCATGTGAATGATGAAGTTCTATTATGGTAGGGCTGGGGCGAGTATCCGAGTACTCGGATAATCACGAATCATAGTAAAAAATCGATTTTGAATATTCGTAATCACAGAGATCGTTGAATTGCGATCTAATTTTTTTATATACATTCACTGTTTCTCACACTCTTAAAATCGAGAAAAATACGATTTGAGTATAAATTATATGAAGTTTACCTTAATATAATTTGCCGGTTAAAGACCATGTACCATGATGCTGAGCTTAGGGAAGTAATTGGTTTCAAAAGACAAAACAAAAATACTTATCCAAAGAATAAAAACATAAACAGTCATAGTTTATATTTTATATGCTTAATGTTTAGTATTGTTTTTTTTTTTAAATAAACATGTTTTTATAACTAATGTACATGTTTTTATGGGTGTCTTGATAACAATAGATCTGTGGTTCGATTTGTGAATCGTAAGTGCTGAATCGTGGTTCGGATCGGACAGCCCTATATTATGGCATTTCTTTTCACTTCTATGTAAGAAGGATTCACGCCCTTTAAGTTGAAGGCTTAGCCGCCACCACTTGTTACCATTACTTAAATGACTGACACCTTCATTTAAGACTGATAAATCATCTTTTGCTCATACAAGACTAATATTCTCAATCGCATGTACATCCTCATTAAATAAGTAACCTATTGCTCCATAGCTTTGGAACAAGAGAATATCATTTTTTACCACAACATTTATTTGATAATAAAAAAACCATAACAATACTTGTGTGGGTAATATGGTTGACAACATCTGGAATGGTATGAAGATTTTATCAGTGCACATACCAGACCATATTTCATACATTATTTTGAAGTGCGACTTTACAAAGTACTGATCATGTCTTTAGTTATTGTATACCAAGGTTCAATTGCATTGAATGGTGTATATCTGTCTATCAATCTCTGATATCACAGGCCTGATCTGCCCAAAAATAAATATAAAATCTTGTTAAAAACCTCTTACAAAAAACACCTCAAGGATTTTAATCTAGATAAGAAACAGTCATATCCTGACAAAAAACGGTTTTTAGAGTTTTGAAAATCAGTTTTACTTTAACCTGTGAATAATACAAGTCTTTCTCTAAAAGCCAATACATTGCATTTAGCAAAGTGTCTAATACTTTGTCTTTAGCAAAGTGTCTAATACTTGGCACATAGCAAAGTGTCTAATACTTTGCACTTAGCAAAGTGTCTAATAATTGGCACATAGCAAAGTGTCTAATACTTTGCACATAGCAAAGTGTCTAATAATTGGCAGACAATGCAAAGTGTCTAATACTTTGCACATAGCAAAGTGTCTAATACTTTGCACATAGCAAAGTGTCTAATACTTTGCACATAGCAAAGTGTCTAATACTTTGCACATTGCAAAGTGTCTAATACTTTGCACATTGCAAAATCTCCACTGCACATAAGTTGAAACTTTTTCTAACCAAGTCACTATGGATAAAAGATATATTTGATTCAGTGTATTCCTAAGGAGAAATAGAGAAATAATAATACAAAATGTATAAACACTTATGTGGTTAATCTTAAACTGTTTTTTTGAATGTCTTAAACTATTTAAAAGGTACCTCAATCTTATTCTGTGAACCCTCATTGTCTTTATGTTTACAATGAAAACTTATGGAAGTAATGACATGGTAACTAGGTTTAAGAGCTTTTGTTTATAATATTGGCGATAGCTCTTTTTTTCTTTTTGAAGAATATAGTAATTTTTCTGTTTTTGGTGATTCATTCTTCCCATATCCCTTAAAGCTTTCTTCTCTGTCCTCATTGATAACAATAGAAAAAAGTCACACTGTGGCTTCTAAAATATTGATAACGAATTTTTATTTGTCAAATTAGGGAGGGGTAAAGTTGAATCATTTAAGCTAATTGGAGACTCTAAATGATTCAAATTGATGACAATTAGCATGCTAGCATGAGGCAAGGGTTTCAAGTTAAGAAATCTTTTATTCTTTTGAGTCATAGTTCAGCTTAAAGTATTCTACTTTTTGTTGAGTAGAAAAAAAAAATTTGTTAGTGAATGAATCAAAATTGTACACCGGAAGTATTTTACTTCAATTTGCAAATAGTTGCGCTCATGATAACTCTAAAATTACAGAATAATGGGAGTCATATAACTGGTGGTTATAATTTAAATTTGTACGAGTGTCAAGTTGCAAGACATTACTTCCTCAGATGATTTTTCTGACGGAACCTTAATGTGGTAAAATGCTTACCACATGAAAAAAAACAACGCTTAAAAGAATTAATTTGCATTTATTTTTACATTATGATTTTTTAAAATGAATATGAAACACTATTGAAAAAAGAAATCGAACCCGAAACAAGTAAACAGAAAGGGATTTTCCCTACAAGTAAAATGGCTAATAAAGGCAGACTTCCACAACTTCTTTAATATATTTGAATTATTTTCAATATCTTTTTCATTATGGACAGAAAGCTACAGAAAAGCAGATACATTTTTATACAAATAACCATCCGTTCCAGAAATGGCGGAAAAGCTTGTATGTGTATGTTTTCAAACTGATGATGATATATGTTTAAGAGAAAGAAAAAGGTTATATTAATATGATAATTTTTAATGCAATTTCTTTAATTATTATTTATTTCTTTATTTTTCAGCAGAGGCTTCTTGCAAAAGCCCTGTATGACAACATAGCTGAGTCACCGGATGAGCTGGCCTTTAAACGAGGAGATGTTATCACAGTTCTTGAGCAAGAGACCGGCGGACTGGAGGGGTGGTGGCTTTGCTCTCTTCGTGGTAAACAGGGCATTGCACCTGGAAACAGACTTAAATTGATAACAGGACTTGTAGCCAATCATGTACGATCTCATACTGCAGATTTCCCATCACTGGCCAATCAAAAAGCAGATCAGGAATGGAACAGACGTAGCTGGGATGGATCTTCAAACAAGGTGAGAACACTTCAAAACAAAATATTTTTGGAGGGAAATGTTGTATGTTTTTTTGTGTCCTTTGTCTGGTGATGTGTTGTGACACTGTTTTGTCTGGCTGATTGTAGAATGAGTTTGGATGTCATCGGCCATTTGGATGTTATCCTTATCTTTTCCTATTGTCCTTTCATTTTTGCACGCTTTTTGAACAAAGAATAACATATTAATCATAACAGTTTTATGAACGATAAATCATAAATGTTTATTCATGTGATGTTGTCCTAAGTGTGAATGGTCATTTACCTCTTTTACCAAATTTTTGAGAAAACGTTTGTCATCTTGTACTGAAAATATACATAGCTTCCACTGCTGAGCAGCCAACCCGCTGATATCATTTGAGATACAGTTTAGTTAATAGCTGAAAATAAATCTACATAATTAGTATCATCTTTGTTTGAATGGATGGGTATATTATCAAGGTCAATGTACATTGACATTTCAAGAGTACTACAGTAACTGTTCAGTACAGCAGATTAACCCAAATATCATGATTATAGTGAACAAATGTCAACATCTTCAGTGTCATATTTACTCCTTTGGGTTTTTCTATCTCTTTTGTTTTGTTTTTTATGTATGTTTATACCAGCTGAGCCAAGATCAATGTCGAGTTTCGGTTTTCATGAAAAGGAGAGAAGCCCCTAAAACTTATAATTCTTTCTGTCACACAAACTTTCCTTAAGCTAGGATTTCTGATATGTAGGAATTTGAACAACTTATCTTGTAAGATAAAAAACACCTATAACAATAACAGGTGTATAAATTTTTAAATTGTCAATTCTCACTACATCATTGCAGGTGGGTTACAATCTGTCATCAAGTTTGATTATCTTATCTAATGGTCAGGAAAATTACAAAGTTTTTTTTATTTGTCATTAGATACAGTAATATGATGTGTACGCACTTTGATGGTTGTATCACAAACTGATTGCTGCACAGTCAGACTAGATCATTAAAAATTTATGTTATGATATCAAAACATCTACCATACTATACAATGGACATTATATAAAATCAAAGACCTTTGACATAAATTTGGTACAGAAAGTGCGAGTGTTTATCAATAACATGAATATGTATTATCATAGCATTAACTTCGGTCTGTATGGCTGTGCAGAATAATTTACTTTTATACAATATGCAAGTACATTTTGGTATCATAGTGAACAAGTTTTATTCGGATATGCATTACAAGTGAACTATAACAGTATTAGCTGGGTATTAGTGATTTCAAGTTTCAATAATTTCATCGAGGTAGAAAATAGGTGTATTCAGTGAAATCCCCTGGGCATTGTTAATATTTCATGCATTTCATTTGATCTTAAAGGCTCCATTTCAAACACATACACTCTGTAAAGCTATGCTTCATGTTGAAATTGATATCTTTTTGTTATGACTTGGGCTTTGAAAGACTATACAATATTTTTTCCCCTCAAATGCATGGACTAGAAATCAAGCAAATTCTTGACAGCTGCATTAATATAACATTCAAAAATTTATCTATAGGTTTGTAAAAGACAATCTTTACCTTAATATGACAGATACAGTTTGTGTACCCTTACTTTGTATTAATTCAGTTACCATTGAAAGTGTTACAAAATGATAACATTCTCCCATTTTTTATTGCTTTTCACTCTTTCCTCCCACTGCCTCCTTGTCTGAGAAATGAAACAAAGAAATAATTTTTCCTGATTTCTTGGAAGATAAGAGAAGGTTTTGGCAAGATAATGTAAGGTCTTAGTTATTTCTTTGTTATTCTTTTGTCAGTTTCTTATATCCAATTTTATGTATCAAAACTTTAAAAATGTGATTGCAAGGTGTTGAGAAATGAAGATGTTAGTCAGCTGTATGATTTATACATTGGACCTTTGTGCTGATATGTTTACTTTTCAACCTTTGTAAATCTGTCTTAATTTATTACAACAGCTCTATTAATTTTGTTTTCATCATTAAACAGTTTAATCTCTATATGTATATTTGCCAATACATCATCTTTCTTTCTGAAGAAGTTTTCTTCAAGTTCTACCTGTGAACAAATATATATAAATTTCCTGCAGGAAATACTTGGAGCATTCTTTTCATGCCTCTCCTCACTTTCTTGTGTAAACAGTCTCTCCGTTTATAATTAGTAAGCTACCTTACCTGCCATACCAGTTGTTTATTAATTGTCCAGTTAATTAAGGTCAACCCACTCAAAACAGGCACCTGTTTCCTTACCGAACCATTTGAATATTCATTAATAATCATCTGTGCTATAAGGTCAGACATAAGTTTCTGGCTCTTCAGAAATTTTAATTATTTTTTTCATTACTTTTTATTTACCTTAAAACTGCCCATGGTCCAATTATTTACTTTATACCTCTGGCAGCTGGCAATGAAATGGGTCATTAGAACAGGTATTTATCATGATCAGGGGATGAAATATTTAAGAGGCTTTACTTATTGCATCTTTTCATCATTTAGGCTTTATATTATGTTCAACTTTTTCCAGTTACTTTGATTACATTTTTTTCTGACGATGATTTCTAAACATTCCAGTGTTGAAATCCACAGACAATAAAATTAGGAAACTGTTCCATAATAAATTTCTACAGTTTCTACCTTGAGATTTTTTCCCTTGATTATTTTTTTTTAAAAATCTCCTCAAATGGTGCTTATTTTTGACGAGATTTAGAAATTCTATTTTGTGAGAAATATACTTTTGTCTAGAAACATTAAACCCCTGCTTAATCTAGGAATTTAATTCATTACCTGCAGTTTTTGCAAAATCATAAATCCAAATTTTCTGCAGAAAATGTTGAAACTGGAAACCTGGTTTGTTTGTGTTTTCTGCATCAAACTGCATGCTGTTTTAATTACTGTGTCAGGTGCTGAGATATCCAAATGTTTAATTGATACCACGGTAGAAATAGATGAAGCACATGCTTAAGATACATCATTTATCTTCTCTTTAATTACTTTTTTAATTTTTTTTTAGATTAGTGCTTGCCCAATATTTGTAGACTTCCAAAATTTTAAGGAGATAGTTTAGATAAATGCAGCTGTTCACTCAGAACTGTTTTTGCATTTTGGAACAAACTTTTCAATTTTCATATTACTCACCAGACAAATATTTTCAAGTCTCGACTTTATTTATTTATAAACAACCACATTAAAGTATTGCCCTGAATATAATTATAGAATTTCTAATTCAACCAACTTATCTTGCAGGAATATGATTTTTTTTATTAATTTAACCTTATTCTACAACAAACAAAGAAACTTACCTTAAAATTCTAAGCAGTCATGTATTTTTCTATTGGTCTGTCCATCAAAAAAAAAAAAAATGTCAGAAAGAATGAAACTTTGATGATTCATGGTTGATTACAGAAAAAGAAAAATCAGCTGTTATGAAATGCTTGGATAATAAAGCAGCTGATTACAACTGAAGGTTAGCTTAGAAGACAGGCTTTGTCATTTCCGGTAAAATGTTTGTATCTTTCTGACAGGTAAAAAATTATTAAGTCATACAGAGCAGGAAATGTAGGCCGGATATCACAGGTAACCTGGTTCCTGTCTGTGGGGTGGGGGGGGGGGTGCTTTTGTCTTGGTTCAGGTTCTGATCTCTGATATGTTTCATGAATTATGTTTGCAAGAAATGCTAAAATGCAATAGAGATAAAAAGAAGATTTTGCAGTGGCATAATTATTATTTGCATTGAAGAATTTAGTTCCTTCAGAAAATCATTAGGCACATGTAAATTTTGGTTTGTTAAATGGAAACTGTAATGCTCAAAATTCAATTTTAAAATCATGATTTGTAAAGAAATGAGCCAGTGATTGGTAGTAGGTGGTTTTGGATACTTGTTTCTGGTGTTGTGTTACCTTTATCAAGATTTCTGTGGTCAAGATAACTTCAATATTGAAGCTCATCTCAACTGTTTCTGTCAAGATATCAGGAGGAAAATACACTTTAATTCTTAAAACCATAAAACAGGTATGGTTTTATGTTGGAAGATTTGGTTTAGAGATTATTATGTTCTGATGTAGAGATTAATTGTTCTATTTTTATATCAGAATACTCTTGTGGCATTCATGTGATATATTCTCTGAATGAAGATCTTACTCATGGGTATCAAGAAAGCTCATTAACCTGTATTCAAGAGTCTCAGATTTTTATCACCCTTCAAGACAAGCCTAAAAATGAATTCTGTTCTTGGTGATTTATTACAGGTTTGATTTTGAAATTGGAACTGTTTTTAGGAATTATAAAAAAAATATATTGAGTTTTGATCAGACTTCATGAAAGTGTCAGCCTGACTGGCTGAACTCCTGTTTAGTCAGGACATTGCAGTATATCAAGCATTTATTTGAACTCTAGACCCAGACTAGAATATGTCCTATTCCACTGCAATATCACAAAGAGCAAATAATATAAAGCTCTGTTGTTTAATGTAAGTGTCACAAAATAATGAAACTGTACACAAGACCAGACAGGGTGTGTTTCATTACTATCTACCTTGTCTTCGCTGGCCATCCCCAGTTATGTCATAAGAACATAATTCATTGAATTAACCCTACCTTGCGAATCCTAAGGTCTGCAGCCCCTGTTTCATAGACTGTCTAGTAAAATATATAACTACCTGCAATAAACCTTACTGTATTGTTATCACAAAATCTGTGATGTTAATTAAATACCTGCAACTAATTGGCTAAAATACAATTGTTATAGGTAAAAGTCAAAACATTTAATTAATAGAACTATATCATGTGACAATTGTCATGTATAGGAGTCCCTCTAAATGTGACAGGAGCATGTGAAATCATTAGTGTTGTCTTTGTTCAAATCACCAACCTACACAGTATCACCTGTAATTCAAGGTCAGTTTAGTAATAAATTATTAATTCAGGCATGAATTATGACAAGTTTGGACATCTGTGAGTTACAGCATATACAAGGTCCTTCCCTTTGAACTGTTGACAGTA